CTAAAAGAGGATTAGATATCTAAGTGATTAATCAACTATTAATGGTCGATCTATCGAACAAAATCGAGGAAAAAAAAAGTTAATCATCATTAAATTTAATACTATGCATATAATTAAAATAGCTCGAGAACACATATCGATCTGTAAAGAAATAGAACATGATTAGATAACCGAACATATTAAAAATAATATTAAAAAAATTATAAAGTAATAAAAGATGGACTTAAATATAAGACAAAATCATAAGTTGGGAGAATTCTCACTTTCTGTGAAAAAATTCACAACTGGGAGAAACAAAACAATCTTTAAATAATAGTATCAAATTGACACTTTCAATAAGGCCTTCAAACTTTGTTTAGACTTAAGATCAATCAAATTCAACATTGAAATAGTATATTCACATTTCCTTCAATTTTTCCTCGTGTTCTATAGAAGAAAAGCAAGTTTCCTATACTAACTTACAACATGTAAAAATTTTTGAACATTATAAGTGTGTACCATATAACCATGTGCTTAACTCTTAACACACATATCATAGATCGAGTTACAACTGCTGCATCCATTGGCAAATTTCTTTATCACAAAAAGAGCAAATTAGTGTCTATGATTTATCGGTTTCATATGATATATGTTTATTGGATGCAGAATCGGAAACTTTTATGCACCAAAGTTTAAAGTATGAGTGGAGATGATGAATTACCTATTTTACTCTTATTTCTTCTTATAATGCAAAATCAACATTTATGCATCACGGTATTTTTAATCTATAAATATTCCATGCATTAACATGGAATAAAACCAATACCAAATATGGCTTGTGAATTATAAGAATTTGTTTCTATCACGGAGGCCATAAATATATTGTTATGCAACACGAAGGAAAACAATATATTTTTTAACATGTATTTTTTAACATATTAGTTTTCAAAACATGTATTTTTAACGATAGTTATCTGAGTTAACTGTGGGGTGTTTGTTTATTGTGGTGCATGTATTTGTGTTCACGTTGTGATTATATTTCTCATGAAGTTACGTACCAACATATATCTCTCGTTCTTGTATAATCATTGTTTTGATTATGG